TAGAGACTTCCCCCACCCCCTAATCATGCATAACTGTCACATGTGACTTATTACACATCTGTCTGTGGCTGCACGGTGCACCAGATGCTGCAGTTAATGCCACACCTAACCTTCCGCCATTAAGTCGGTATAATAAAACCCAAGTGGAATTTTCCACTGCCAGCCTGCCTTCCTCTGTCACCGCTGTCCAGTACTGGGAGAAGCCTGTAGGGGATAGCCCAGACAGGATATTAATGGGTCCCTCCAAAAGTCAGAAGGCCTGACAGAGCCCTGTTTCATTGTCACCTTGCCTTGGAGGACGAGGAAAAACTTGCAAAGCTTATTAGGTGAATAGAGCTGTTTCTCACTCTAACTTACTCGATCTCTGCCTCGCCGCTTCATTAGACTGTCTTACATCAGAGACCCGCTCCTGTCCCTGTTTCCTCACCACATCGCCACACTCACTTCCACACGCACTCACACACACAGGGTGACATCTCCCACCTAATCAAGTAGTGGATTATCTTGTCCTGATAAATTGGAGCTTGTAGCACTTGAAAGGTCCTCTTGGAAGAGTGCCTCCTCCCCCTGACAGCTAGATTGAGCCCCCAGGGAGCAAGGAGAGAGAACATTGCCTGGTAATGATTTGTGGTAAATCGGACAAATGTTTTTGGAGAGACCTCTTTCAAGCAAGGAGCTTGATGAATTTAAAGAATGTGAAGAAACTCTGGAAACCTCAAGAGAAATTTCTGAAAGGAAAATTATATGTTATGTGTGCATTTTTATTTTATTTTTTTGAATGAAGTTGATAAAAGTGAATCAACTGCCCACAAGATTTTAATTAATCTTTTCAAGAAAATGAAAAATAAAGTCCGACAAATATGAAGGCCAAAGGAAACTGAAAAGAAAGTCACTTTTTTAGGAGATATTTCTTTTATCATATAATTTTGTTATCTTTACATAAACTCTTATATGTTAAAAACAGAACAAGATAATTTTCCCCACATATCACTTCAGACTGAAGAATAATTTTTCATGGCCCAACTTATCATTAGCTTATCCAGGCATGGCTGCCATATATAAGCAGGGGTTAAAGTGGCATTTGCCAGGGAGAATCCTAAGATCTGCTATAGCCATGTGTTGGTGCAGCACAGGGAAAAGAATCACACAGGAAATAAAAATGCAAATTTGCATAGTGAACTCCAAGTAGATTTGTTTTCTTTGCATACAGGATGTGATCAGCTGACCTTGGATGCTGCTGCTCTAAAGTCTCCTGCTTCTTGTAGATTAAATTGAATTAACTGACATATATAAGCAGCCCAATCAGATCAAACTTAAATGTCTGCTGCTTTCAATATAACATAACATTGACCATGAACACCACAGCCTGCTCTGCACCAGTCCAACCCAGCATTGTAAACCTTACACAGTACTGCAAACGAATTAATTTAGCCTCCATCAAGGAGTACTCAAGGACCCTTCAATTTATCTTTCAAGTTTTTTCAGAATGTAAAAAAATATAACTTCTGCAAAACATCATAGACGCTGTCTGACTTATCAAATGTCACTGTGCTGTTTTTATCTTTGAAAATAATCTCTTCTTCCTCTCCTGTCCTCTCTTACTGATGTCTTTCTCCATCTCTTAGACTAAACTGATCACACATTGTTGCTTTGTTTTCTCCCTGGGAAATACAGTGTTTGCAGACACACTGTGGTCCAGACTGCACAGAAACATTTGGTGTTTAGAAGTATTTGTTGAGTTGTGTGAAAAATTTATAGTTACCTGCCAATTTAAATGTTTCTCAGATATGCTTGCTGATCTAGTGTTAGCCAAAGCCCTCAGCTAAAGGACAAAGTTCCACAAGTACAACTTTATTGACATGAAATCATAAAATCACAGTGACAAAAAAAACAAAAACAAAAGAAAAACATGGGTTGTCATACTTAGTACTATGCAAGTATCTCCATGACATCAACTGGAAACAATGCCAGACAGCAGCACTCAAAAAATGAACTCTCTTTACAGTACTATGTATTAAGCTAGGTTAGCTAGCTTAATGAAATTTTGTTACCAATTAATCAAAGGTGCTGTTCTGGATAATTCTGGTCCACATTAACCAACCCAGTATCACAACATACTGTGTACAGATGTGTATAGACACGCCAGTCCACCGTGTTCATGTCACTTGTCCATTTGGCTGTTCAAAATTTGAAATGTACACCCATGCAGAAGTTGCATTACCGGCAGAAGGAGATAATATATTTAAAGCCAAGAAGCTGAAGTGCAGAAAATGTATGAAATACATTGCAGGGTCCTTAATTGCTGGAAACGATTAAGCTAGGCAGGCTAGGCATATTATTATATATAATAAAATTAAGCTTACTGTATATATATATATATATATATATATATATACACACACACATATAAATATATATTAATTATATATATTATATATATTTATTATATAAATTATATATGATATATATATATATTCATATTATATTATATATATATATATATATATATATCATATAATATATATATTATTATAATAATATATAATATATATATATATATATATATATATATATATATATTTTTATAGATTATATATAGATATATATATATATATATATATATATATAGGGGTGCAACGATACACAAAATTCACGGTTCGGTTCGATACTTTGGTGTCACGGTTCGATATTTTTTCGATACAAAAAAAATGTTCATGCCTTTTTAATTTGTCATTTATTAAAATTATAAATATATATTTTAACTCAAAAGTACAGTTTTTAAATTTAACCCTAACCCTTGTGCGTGTTTTTTATTTTGACAGCGAATGCGCACCTGCGGACCACTTATGTGCAGCCCTGGTTATTTAGCTCTCATATTGCAGCCACAGAAATTTTTTGTCCATGAAACCATAAAGCTGCACTTTCTTTTTGCCTTATAGTCTGATTTGTCATAACTTTTCCGTTTTGTGGTAAGCTTTTCTTTGGCTGTCACTTCTTCACCCTGACCTGTCTTATTTGGCTCAGCAGAACTAAAATATATATCCTGCTGCTTTTACACACGCACTCACATAACGCTCAGCGATTCTCTGCGCGATCAACCTCTCACATGTTTAAGCTTGCTGCGGGAGATTTCACTTGTCATGTTTGCATAGTAAGCTAACGATTAATAAGACGATGTCAGAGGAATTGGTGCACAAATTATCATCACTCACAGATCAGTGCTGTCGCTCTCTATACACAGTTCGCGCGATTGCAAAGTGAAAGCAAAAAAACAAGCGCAAATTCAAACGCGATTTCAATATGTCACATATTGACAGTGGCTCACCGATGCCAATGACATAATTACCCAGCTACATTTCTGAAAGAATGCAAAAGCATTGACATATATTTTTCCTTCCTACAATAGCCCGACGGGCAGGGAGAGATAGATTTTGGTAGCCCGACTGGAAAAATCGCTAGCCCCGGGACGTCGGGCTAGCGATATTGCGAGCCCTGTATCTGATTGAGGAATCATGCATCTTTGGAAAAGAGAGCTATACTATACGCTTCTTCTGGGCTATATTCTCAGCAGCATATTAAACAGCTGTCTAAATGACTCGGCTAAAGTTAGTAGCATGCTTGTTGTTTTTGTCTTTGCACTAGGATGATGTCGGCGTAAATGTGCAGTCATATTCGTTGTGTTCCCACTAGTGCTTTCAGGTTAATCTCGTTGAAATGACCTTAACGCCACAACACGGCAAATCTCCGTTAACGAGCTACCCCTGATCGCCCCGTGCATGGGGCTAGACGGCCAACACGTTAACGAGCTAACTGCGCTAACACACTAGTTCCCACCCATGTAATTGAGCATTGCGTGGCACATCCAACATACTGTTTTACTTTAGTCCATGACGCGCTTACCTTCAGGGTCATACGTCACATGAAAACCAAAATAATTCCAAACGCCAGATCTGAATGAGGGTGGGGGAGGTTCAATTTGCCATGTTGCAAGGAGAGCTTAACTTCTGTCTCGCTAGCTTGCTCGACAGTGCAGCCTAGGCGGAGTTGTCGAACGCAGATTCACTGAGCGCTCAACACAGACAGCATCGTCAGAAGGAAAGTTGATAAAATAAATTACAAATTTTGTATTGTTCGATACATATGCGTACCGAACCGAAAGCACTGTATCGAACGGTTCAATATCGATACGAATATCGTTGTACCCCTAATATATACATATATATATACATGTAATGTCTGTTTAAATGCTTTCCTTTGATTATTTTCATGTTGGCTTGAATTAAAATATTTCCCTCTGCTGTTACTGCACCTTACTGCAACTTCTGCAAGCGGGACATTTCACGTTTTGTAGAGGCATAGGGTGATGGACACGGTGGACCAGCGCGCCTGTTATACACTTTGCATGATATCGGGCTGCTTTAACCCCTGATAAGCATGCTTCAGGGACTTAAATCCTTATTTGAGGAAAATAGTCTAGAATCCTTGCTATAGTTTTTGTTTTTGCCCATAATGTCATTAAAGGGATGTGTTTTTTTAATGTTTAAATATTTGTGTGGGAACAATGGCAATAGTAAGGGTCCAGTGAGAAAAATAGTAGTTACTTGATGCACCTAATTATTTACACAAGCTTCACAATTTGGTTTGCCAAGTAATCAAATTTTAGTGGACACCTCTTTGTTCCACCTGGCAATAGGTTGTTGGCAGACTCTTAAATGATAAATGTGCAACACAAATCAGTGTGTCTTTGACTGCTTCTAATTGTATGCCCACTACTGAGACAACCTCACTCTTTTCCTGCTTGCCTTTCATGAATAGCTCATGTCTTCAAAAATCGCCAAATATCTTGGTGTTGCATGACATTTACAATTCAACTATTATATAAAGTTTTCTGAATAATCAACTCTGACAATGGCCTGATTTGTTCTTGTTAGTTGTTGTTGTGAGCAAAATTTTTATTGCTTTCTCTTCTGCTCTTTGTTTCCTCTGTTCCCCTTTTGTAGGAAAACCCTTACATGTGTAACAATGAATGTGACGCCACCACTGAAGAGCTCGCCCACCCCCCAGGGCTGATGTTCGACACTGAGGGCCGCAACCCCACAACCTTCTGGCAGTCCACCTCCTGGAAGAAGTACCCAAAACCCCTACTGGTCAACATCACTCTATCTTGGAACAAAACCATTGAGCTGACTGAAGACATTGTCCTCACCTTTGAGTCAGGCCGACCCGAACAGATGGTCCTAGAAAAATCACTAGATTATGGACGAACCTGGCAGCCCTACCAGTTCTACGCCACTGATTGCTTGGACGCCTTCACCATGGAGCCCAAGACGGTGCAAGACCTAACTCAGCATACCCTACTGGACATTATCTGCACCGAGGACTACTCACGAGGGTACGTGTGGAAGAACGACAAAACTGTACGCTTTGAGATCAAGGACCGATTTGCACTGTTTGCTGGACCCCGGCTCCACAACATGGCCTCACTTTACGGCCAGCTAGACACGACCAAGAAGCTGAGGGACTTCTTTACCATTACTGATCTGAGAATCCGCCTGCTCCGGCCTGCCACAGGAGCAACGATGGTGGATGAGAACAACCTGTCCAGATACTTCTATGCCATTTCTGACATCAAAGTTCAGGGCAGGTAAGGCATAAAATAATCTGTACAAATACTGTTTGATGGACTCAAGGCTGGATTACCAAAAACGAAAAGGGGGTTACAACCCATGAGCCTCAGACTGCAAGGGACTTTAAAAAAGCTAGGTCCAGTGTTTGTCTTAACTTTGATAAGTGAGTCAGTTCAAATTTTCATATAAATTGACAGTGAATCAGTTATCGGCCAGCAGGGGTGTAACAAAAAAGGTGCCCATATAGGTTAATCTAACAATGAGTTGACTCATTCTTTGTAAGGATCCTTTTAGAATCGACTGTTTCGTTTTTTTTCTATATTTTCTATATTCATTATTACAACTACAGTGCAGCTGCCCAGAAGTGAAGAAAATGTGTTGACTGTTGTCCATTCTTTCCAATTAGGCAGTGGATCTATAATGTTGTGCAGAGTTCACCAGTTGTCAGCATGTCTTAATTAACCAAGCAGCTTACAGTTTGCTGAAGCACTCTACTTTAGACAAGAATTCACTCAGCTGTCTTTTAGCCCACGGAGCACATCAGATGTAACATTTCAGCCATCAGGTCACTGTACGCTGTAATTAGTGTTTGATTTACAAAGTCTCTGGAGGGTCATATAACATCAAAACAAGACTCCGCTGTAGTGTTAGCGCAAAGGTTAACGAAAGCTTCCCCCGCTTCGTGACGCTATACTACAAGAGTCAGTGAAGCGTCGACTTAAGTGGATCTGTTTTACACCGTGTAGTTTTTCAATTTAACAGACGTGAATGCGGTAGTGTGGGTGGAGGAATGAAGATTTAATTACTCATGTTTTGCTCTTCACATGTGAGAGACTCAGCTGTACAGAAGCACAGTGTGCAGAACGTCACAACAATTCGAGGAAATATGTGGAAGTGTTGAAGTCGGGCTGGCACACAGCAGTGCGTGTGTTGCAGCTTTTCTCAGCCTCAAGACAGACTTGGAAAGAGGACTAGAAATATAAACATCAGCAGTGTCCTGTTCAGTCTCATCAAATAATTGTTCGAGCCAGTGTAGTTGTTGGGGAAAAGTAAATCAAAAGTTCTGAATATGAGCATCAACACTTGATAGGAATTTAGAAATGGCGTCATTCTCATCATACTCATGGCATTGCATGTTTGTATGGCTCTGATAGTATTCACGTTATATTGCCAAATGCCTTATGATTCTCTAATTTGTTGATTTGCTTAATATGCTATTGAAATTGCCTACAAATATACTATGGATCACTCTAATGCACAGTAAATGGGCAGGTACCCTTCAGCACAAAGGCTATGATAATGAATGCTTTTCTCAGAAATTGAATTTTTGACTTTTCTCGTGATTGAGAAGGTCATTCAGCAAAAATAACTGGAGGGAATTTACTAACACAAAAGAGTTGGACGTGGCATCCATTTAACACACGGTGAAATGAAGAGGGCTGTCATAAGAGCAGATTATTTATTCTATCTGACTAATCATGACCGAACTCATACATCGCTATGGGGCTGTATATTTGAGCAATGGCATTGCGGCACCGTCGGGCCGTGGTCGTTTACCAGCCTGCTGCTTTTAGAGTGACGCTCGACTAAGAAATATTCCCCACTGTTTACCAAAGGTAACACACAGTTCAGCCATAATGAGATACACTCTACACAGAGAGGCTTCACTCTGCCCCCCGCCCACGGGCCCTGGTGTGGTGTAAGTCCCCCCACCCAGCCACTCAGGCCCTGTTGTGGTGTAAGTGCCCCCACCCCCCCCCCCATGGCGAATCACTGCTCAGCTCCTTTCTCCATGCGTCGTATACTAGACATAAGCTCCTTAACCCCCAGAATACAGTTCTGTGAGACGCGCCAGGAAAGTTTTCGCTGGGGCAGTGAGGTTGAATCTGGCATATTTTACTGTGCTGGACTCATCTACCATCCGCCTGGATCAGAAGCAGGAGTGGGTGTGGAGGAAAATACAGTAGGAGAGTTTGCAGATTTTCTGCCCTTGCCACAACAGTGCGAGAAACAAAGAAAGGAACCTAAGCTCTTTGCCAAAGTAGGTCAACCTAAAAATGAGAGAAGAAGCGCAGTTTTGCAGAAGCAGTCCTCTTTGCATCTTTAACATATAGCTAAAGTTGGTACAGGGAAGCCAGGAGTGTCATGCATGACCATTCTATTATAGCTGATTACAAGAAAGAAACAGACCAAAGGCACAAGGGACCGAAAAATCAATGCTGAGAATTTCAAATCAAACCAAGCATGAAGCTGCGAGATGGATGTGAACAATGCATTTTGGCTGGTGACTTAAATGAATTTGACACCCTCACTGTTTCATTGTATCAGCTAAGCTAAATGGATGTATGCAGAGAGACACTGTGGTGGGTTAGGGGGAATTTTCTAATTATCTACTGTATGACTTTGGAGTAATTGCTCAAACACCCTGCCCCCCTCCTTTTTTTTACAAGCTTTACAGTAACTACAGCTGTAGCCAGAGAGACAGTTTCACCAACTGTCTCCCTCTCTTCACTCGATCTCACCTTCCTTTTCCTTCCTCCTGCTTCTGATCAATATAGTGTAATTAAAGCTGGAGAAGATTCAGGCTACTAAAAGATCTCTTTCTGGCTATCGGTTTTTCTGTTTCAGGCCTGTATACATCAAACAGTTTTATATATATTTGTGTGTGTTTGTGTGTGTGTGCCAATCACATACCCACAAAAGCACTTCCCACTATCAAAGCAAGAAAAATACAGCTAATAGGAAGAACTGTAGGTGGGATTTCTGGCACTTCTCTTTTTAATCACCGTCACGGTTTTTAATTGCCAAAATCTACCAGGACAATCCTTTTAGGCCAGAGATTTAAATAACCTCCCAATCTGGCAACAGATTGTTACAAACCTTTTTCCCACTGTCAGTGCATAAAATATCATTTAAGAACCATCATGAACTACTTTTCCAGCCTGTTTCCACCCTGCTTGTGTTAAGCAAATGATTTGATAAGTGAAGAGAAAGTTTGTTTTAACAATTTATCCCTCTGCCTGGAAGTTGTGATTCAATTTCCAGAGCATATATGTGCAGAAATGGAAATATCATGGATCATTGGATTTTTTACATTTTTAATATATTCGTTTTTACTTTTTAAACCATTTAACATATGACCCTAAACTATGAATTACCTAACAATCATTTTCATTGTACACTTATTGATGAATATGTTCAGTTAAAATAAGGACTGTTTTTAACAGTAGAACCTTGAATTTTTAAACATATTAGTTTAGTTTTCTTAACAAATCATTCATTATTCAGAATTAATTAAGAAAAAACAAAAACGCGGGGTCAATATTATTAGCTTACTGAAAATCTGACATTTTTCATTGACCCATAGCACAAACCACTCCTGTGCAATGACCTGCTTTAACTTGTTCAAAGCTTGTAAAATCGCACCAAAAGTGAGGTTTATCTTCTAATTTACGCACTATAAAAAATTGGGTTAGGCTTTGAGTTGTCACTTAAGAAGGGATCAAGCTAAAAACTAAAGAAATCAGTTTTGATGCTCATAAAGCAGGACATAGATATATAAATTTATTACAGCTTTTCAGATGTCACAGTGTCATCAACAGGACTGAAGTATTATCAAGAATTATAAAGAGAGCACCACCGTCCAGAACAAATCTGACAGTGGTAGAAAGCAAAAGACTTTAAAAATAAATTAGTGAGAGGTGTGTCTAATGACCACTGAACAACTGCCAAGACACGAATGAATGGCTTATCCAAGTCTAGAACTGTAGTCTCAAAGATGACAGGCACAGAAGTCTGCACAGGAATGGACTGCCGGGCTGTGGAACAAGAAAAACTCCTCTTCTGCAGAAGACATGACTTCAGGCCACAGTGAGGTATGGTGAGGGAAGTGCATCCTTAGAATAGATGAGACTAAACTAAAACTCTTTAGCCACAGAGATGCTGTTTGGAGAAACAAGGGAGAGGCATACAACCCAGAGAACACCGCCTCGTAAAACATGGTGGTGGGAGTATTATGCTTCAGTACATCTGGAACTGGGAATCTCGTCAAGATGGAAGGAATCACCAAAGGAAGAAGGATATGGGAAGATATTAAAAGTAAACCTCAAGCAGTCAGCAACAACACTGGATCCAGGTCATCCTGAGTCTCCCAACACTACAGCGAACCAAAACACACGTCATTCCTGGTGAAGAACTACCTCCAAAAGACCAAACATGACTGACCTGCACGGAGCCCTCACTTAAATCACAATGAAATTCTGTGAAGTGAACTGAGGACCAGGATTTCACGCCAGAAGATCATCAACTCTGAAAGACCTTGAGAGATTCACCTGGGAAGAATTGGGTGGGATTGCTCAGGGGACGGACCAATAATTTGGACAACCAACATTTGGTTTCGGTGTCCAAAATTAAACATCCATCCATCTATTCTCTTCCACTTATCCTTGTCAGAGTTGCGAGGGGGCTATAGGCTATCCCAGCTGTCTTAGGGCGATTAGGCAGAGTACACCCTGGACAGGTCGCCAGTCTGCCGCAGGGCTAATACATAGAGACAGGCAACCATTCACACTCACATTCACACCTATGGGCAATTTAGAGTAACCAATTACCCTATCCCCACTAACTGCATGTCTTTGGACTGTGGGAGGAACCCGGAGTAGAACCTTCTCTCTCTTCTCTCTCCAAAATTAAGCAGCATTTGGGAAATAGTTAAATTTTACTGCAGTGAGTCATTCAATTTGAATAAATCACTACAACGAGCAAACTGATAGCCGTGCGGTACTGTTGATGAACAAACCACATGACCACATCAAATACATGCTGCAGTTTGAAATTCACCTGCCATCTCACACTGTCACCATGTAATAAAGGTAACAAGTAAACAATCAGTGAATAAGTAAGTGAGTATACTAATTTACATAGTGCTATTCAAAACAAATACTGCATAAACTAAGTCTACTGAAGATATTTTTGATAAAGATTATTTCTTGTGATGCAATGATCCAACTTTTAGCTT